TTTTTTTGAACTGATTGTTTCGAGCTAATTATGTGGTGCAGTTCGAAGAATTTTCTCCGGTGAGCAATGGTGTTCCAGAGGAGCGTTTCCTTGCTGTCCAAGCTACGGTCGCGCTCTGTGAGTGATATTTTAATCAGTCCGCAGTTAATTTGTTTTGTGCCTTTTTTTGTGGCGGTCTGTGTTGACTGGAGAAAAGTGAAGAAGAATTGATGTCTTGTGATTTTGTTTTCCTTTGTTGTGTATAATTGTTCGTTTAGATGTTGACTTGTGTTATGCAACAGGCACAGCAACCAGGCCTCTTCAGTTCCGTCCGCTGGCTCCAGTCCTTGTCTGGCGTAGTGAGTCATTTCATTTATCGCGCGACTTTATTTGGCTTTCTGTTTCAGGCTATGGAATGTATTTGTTAGGGAAACAAGTATAAAATCTCATTCGTATTGTGGTGGGAAACATTATTCAAAGCATAAGTATAAAAAAGTAAAGGAGGTGAAAAGAATATTATTGAATATCTTTTGTGTAATTATAACAGAGGAAGGGGCTAGAGTGTGAATGGGGGTGAGAATAGGGGTTTACTGAGGGGTTGCAAATGATATACTGGTCGAAGCAGATTGGGATTGTTCAATGCCGATGAACATTTTAATTAACGAATTCTAGACTTATCATCCTTACGTCTTTTGTTGCAGGGTTTTCGCTTGACTTCTAGCAGCTTGCTTAATTTGTTGATCAATTTGCTGATGTCATTGTAATGTTGACTTGTTTGTAGGATCTTCATTCTCAGCTGAAGGAACTGATACCAGAGCAACAGGTGATGCCCTGTGTTATTGTTTTTGACGATACAGAATACACAATTTACTGATTCTATTCTGAGTAGTAAAAAATATCTAGATGCAACATTTCTGCGTGTTTGGGAAAGTTCAATAATCAGTGTATAGCTGATTGATTGATCATAATGTTGATGCCAGAAAAGGTTGCTATATTGATGTTAACGGGGCACTCCATATTTATTTGTTGCAGGAGCGCCTAAAGAAGCTTAAGTCAGAACATGGAAAGGTTCAGCTTGGGAACATAACTCTTGACATGGTAGGGATTTTCTTGTGTTTTTCTTTTCTTCTGTCAATTTTTGAGAAACTAATGGCCTTGGTACTAATGATATGTTGTGATACCTCCAACAGGTACTTGGTGGGATGAGAGGTATGACAGGATTACTGTGGGAGACCTCATTGCTTGATCCAGAAGAGGTATGCCCTTTAACTCACTTAAGGGTGTAATTAATTGTGCCATTTATTGGTGTTATATACACGCAGAAACCAGAACCTCTAAGGTTTCTTAAGGAACTTTATGTGATTTGTACTATCGATATGCATTATTATACACATTTTACGTAGGGAATTCGCTTTCGGGGTCTTTCGATTCCTGAATGTCAGAAATTGTTACCTGCTGCAAAGCCTGGTGGAGAACCATTGCCTGAGGGTCTCCTCTGGCTTCTTTTAACAGGAAAGGTAGTTTCCTTGTTGTCTCCCGCATCTATATAATTCTTCTTTATTGTATTTTACCTTTTTGGGGGGATAAAGGGGTGGGGTGGGTTAGGGTGTATTATACTTGAACTTGTGTTGTTATATGTATATACATCTGCACGATTGGCATCTGTTATGATGTTGACTTATCATTGAGCATCCTCTTCATTTTTACCCTTTCAATTTATAAATAATTATTTTGGCCTTTGGGACCTTTAAACCCTGTGATAGATTAAGTAGTTACGTTAACCTTGCCTTCTTTATTTCCTCACTTCATCTAGGTGCCAACGAAAGAGCAAGTAGATGCTTTATCAAAGGAACTACAAAGTCGTGCTACTGTCCCAGGTTCGTTAGCTCTCGAATTTAGTATTGAATGCTTATACTTTGAGAAATGATAATGAAAGCTTGGAATTCATTATCTAATCATTTCTGCCATTCACCTTTGCTTTGCAATATAAAGACTCCAAAAATGTTCATGAAGCTATTTTTGGTGACATGCTTGCCTTTTTAGTGGTTCTATTTTCTTCTCATCATTTATGTTTCAC